ACACCAGTACATGTGCATATACGCCCAAAATACTGAGAGCAGAGTGGAGAAGGGACTACAGCAACCTTTAAGGGGTGATTTCTCACTTTCACTCTCATGCTCACACTTGTGCGCGCACGCGCTCTCGCTCTCTCTCGCTCTCTCTCTCTGTGGCAAGTGCATGTTGCATGTGCCCAAAGTACATCAGCCTGATTATTTAACAGTTTCTCTGCAAGACTCCCTGTGGAATCTATCCACACAATGCTACATTTAACCAGATCCCAAAAAATGACTGACAGTACACTGATCAGCAAATGTTACCTCTCTCAGCCTTTAAACAATCCTTTACCACCTGCCCTCACTGTCCCATTCCTACTTACTCCTAAAGACAACTTTTCGTTTCACATAGGAGAAAAAGGAAGTGGCTCCCGTATAGATTGAATAAAACATATTTTAAATTACAGTTCATCTGATTTTGTCATTTTGTTTTTCTTTGTTTTGTTTATGATGTCAGAGGGCATGTGTGTTCACCAGAAAGTGGGAGACAGGCAGAGAGGGAGGAAGAAAGCACCCCCCAATGGGACGAGGTCATGATGCAATCCCTTTTCCTCCATTTCTCCATCCCATTGGGATTTGGAGCTCAGATGAACTTGCAACTGACATGTTTCTCAAGCTGCGACCAGGATTCAAAGCATGTGGCTGACCATGTGGGATCTGGCTGGCCATTTCTTTTTTTTCTTTTTCACTTGCTATAGGGCACTTGCACTCACCAAAGACAGAGAGAAAGGCATTGAGGGACCAGCAGTTAGCGTAACGGCTATGTCGCTGGACTCCCATGTAGTTGACCGGGGTTCGTGTCCCAGACCTGGTGGTTTAAAACTCACGCCAGGCGCGTGCGCGTGCGTGCCCCAGATCCCGAGAGGAGAATGGAGGAGAAGGGATTGTGGCGTGGCCATCCCACCTGGGATGGTGATTTCTCACTTTCTGTCTCTCTCTGCCTGGAGAGCGCACGCGCCCTATAGTAAAAACCTCTAAAAAAAAAAAAGAAAAAAAGAGGAAGTAGAAGAAGAAAAAAAAAAGAAAAGAAAGAAAGAAAGACAGACAGACAGTGAGAGGGGAAGTGAGAAAGTACCTCCCAAAAGGAATGGCCATGCCACAATCTCTTCTCTTCCATTGTCCTCTTGGGATTGGGGGCACACATACACATATGCCTAGCATGTTTTTTAAGCTGCCAGGTCTAGGACCAAACCATGCAGTTGCCAATATGGGATCCAGCTACTTTAACCACCATGCCGTTGGTTGGCACACTTTTTTATTTTTTGCTATAGGGTGTGTGTGCTCATCAGAGAGACAGAGACAGGGAGCAAGAAATCACCCTCCAGCGAGGATGGCCATGCTACAATTCTTCTCCTACATTCTCCTCTCAGGAATTTGGGCACACATGCTCAGTGTGAGTTTCAAGCCACCAGGTCCAGGACTTGAACTGTGGTGGACTACTTGGGAGTCCAGTGACATAACGATTATGCCCTCTGCTACCCCCGGCCCATTTTTTATTTCTAAATAACATTATAGGAGGATATAAGTTTTGTCTTGTGTTTATGGCTCCCTTCCTAGCTCTGGGTCCTTAACAGGGTCCTTTTCTTCCACCAGCCTTTAAACGTTAGTGATACTTGCAGAACCCACTTTTCACTAACCCTTCGACCTTTGACATAAACAGCTATAAAGGCACTGATGGCTGCATCTGCACCCCCGGCCCAGTGCTCCCTCCCGCCACCCAGAACCATGAGTATGCCCACTCACCCCTACTATTCAACAGGTGGTTCCCTCCAGATAGTCCCTGAGCGCACTTACCAACCTACCGTGCCCGGTGACAGTCTGTCTCAGTGAACTACGCCATCGCCCACGCCAGACCTTTACGGGACCTAGACTCGTTAGTTCCCTGTCTCTTTTGGGACACCATTCCCATCATTCTCTCTCCCTTATTATATCTTAGGCTCCAGAAATACTGAGCTCTGTGGTGTCCCCCATACACCAGGCTTTGCATATGGTTTGGTCTTTTCTTACATGCCACTCACTGTCCAGTGTATCTCCCTTATAAATCCAACTCACTTTTCTAATCTCAGCCGCAAAGTTACCTTCTCCTAGGCCCTTCCCAAACAGAATTAAGTTCCCTCCTCTGCCTGTCTACTGCAGAGAATGACCAAATTACTTGTTTGACTCCATGAGACCACAATTTCCTTAAGGACTGCAACTCTAATTCACAGACAGCCTGGCATATCAGACACCAACTTGTTGCTACCTTCATCTATTTGTTATAATAGGCAATAAAGTTATGATACTGCCAAATTAGTTTTTATTTATTTATTTATTTATCTAAATTTGACGAGAGAGGGAGAGAGAGAGAGAGAAAGCTGCCAGGTCTGGGATTCGAATCGAGGTCAGCCACGTCAGAGTCCAGCACTCTTAACCTCCACCCCACCTGCTGGCTCCAGTTTTCTTATTCTTAAAAATTCATTTCCAGATACAATTAATCAATTA